ACAATAGCATATAGCAATTTAAAATCTAAAATAATTTTCATCAATAAAAGATTTGTCAACGCTTGCTGCAATTTTTATTTCAAAATTCTCTGCTCTGGAAGTTTGAAATATTTAAATGCATATATATGGATTATGCATATGTATGGATTATATCAGATATATCCATCTTTTAAGGGTTTCTGATAGGATACTCTCCTCGTGAACCTTATGAGGAGAGTAGCGTATCAGAAACCCTTGGCTAACGATGCTGGATATGTGTGTGTATTTATGTTTGTGTATGTAACATTTCTTTCAGAACTTTCTATCTTATCATTTTAAAAAACCTTTATGTCTTCTTGGCCCAAATTTGGAAAATAAAATTGTCTTATCTTATAAATGCATATTTTTTCAAAGGCGCAATAGAGACATTAATTTTTTAGCAAAGTCTCATTAATCTGGAAAAAGATGTGTGAAATTGGTTTAACAACTAAAAAAGTCAAAATTCATCCTAAAGCTATAAAAAGTCTGATTTTGGGGGCGAATAAATAAAATTTTCAGGACCCTCTGAGTGCTGTGTGACATATTTTTGTAACTGTCCTCAGCTGATTTCAATTATCACTTTTCCTTTTTGTTTTCCCCAAAAAAGTCAGTAGGGACTAGTTTTGTGATCTATGGTAGGTTGCTTGGTGAGATTTTAACGTTTAATTCGTTAATACACAGTAAAGGCCAATCTTATTCCTTAAGGCCTGATATTGGAGTTGTCTCTTGGCTACACTACTACGCGTGTCAATTTCAATTATGTATATATATTGTCTTTCTTGGCATTTTACTTGCCATTCTGTTTTAATATACAATATATTTAAAGAAAATCATATTTCTTTTACCCAGAGCACTTCTGAGCCACTTCTATCTCAGATCCAGTGAGTTTTATAAAGTCATTTACGTAACAAGTGTAAGGATACGAATTGGATACATGAATTGACTAATTTTGTTTGTGGATGATACACATATAAAATTTCTAATATATTACGAAATTGTAGGATTTTTTCATGCACTTTAAACCTCTTATTTTTTTCTGTACCTCATATAAATCTATACATTTTTTTCATTAAAGAATTTTAATTGAAATGTTGCTAATTTAAATTTTATTTAAAGTCAACATCTCGTACATTCTATGCTCGTTATAATCACCTTTTTAGGGAATTTAACCTAATATCAAGTAGTCGTTTTAGGCTGACTTGTTTCATGTCAGTTATTAAGCCTATTGTTTGTTGTAAATTTGACTACGGAATGTATCCTTGATCAATACCTGGGTGATCGGCCAATAGCGGATGTTTACTCCTCCAAGGCACCTGATCCCACCTCTGTAGATTCCTGGGGTCCGTGTTTAGGTAATGTTCACAGATGCTGAGATCGATCGTTGTTCATTATTTACATTTTTTTTCATTAATTAAAACATTCATTTAGAATCCTTGTTCCTGATTTTTGTGGGGAAAAGATACTTTTGTAGCAAATGGCCTCGGTTCTTTTTTTGTTGTTGTTGTTGTTATTCCAAAGTAAGCACGGTCTAAAGATATTAGGCTGCATATATTTGAAAACTTCGTCCACTTAAATGTGTTTATACGAAAGAAATATGAAAAATGAACGAAAAAATGCAGTTGTGTTCCTTTGTAAGGCTATCATGGGTATAGGAAAGAAAAAAATGTGATTGAATTGTTTTGTCCTTTTTTTAGGGTCCTGTAGGGGCAGGGTAAAAATTTATAGTTGGTTGTATTGTTTTAAGATTTTTTCTTAAAATAAATCTAAACAGGACATTTTTTAAAAAGCTGTGCATGTATAAGATTGTTTGATTCGCTGTAGCAAATTTAACTACAATGGGAGTGAGAATTTATACCTAGGTTAAATGGTCGCTTCCTGTAATTTATCCAATGTGAAGTGCAGTATATGCATGTGAAATACATCGTCCCTTTGTCCCCCGACATTTCCTGAGCGTATGTTTCTGAATTAATATTTTCAGTTGCTTCCATGCCTGGTCTTCAGTAAAGACAAACGGTTCTAGAACAATCATGGTTTGCATTAATTCAGATGCATGATTATATATCTTTAATTTCACAATGGTTTATAAAATTTGCTTTCTCTGAAATAACATTCTTAAATCAAAGTATACAAAGATATATCTTTTTTGTGTGTGTCTGTGTGTCTTTATTTTTTTAATGTCAAGAAATAAAGTTTCGAAATTGGTTAGCATTCGCGACCCCTCCTCAAGTCAAAGCCAGGAATCATTAAAGACTCGCACAGTTTCAATATCAGACAGAATAAAACAAAGAAATCAATAAGAAAAAAGTCATTACACGTGCATCACCAATATCAGTAGATTCGCCGACATTACTGGACAAGCTTTACTCTATTTGTACTAAAACAAATCAGGGACTTGCTGGCTTGCTGTGAACGCCATGACATTTCGCTATTCAAAGATAAAATACATGTAATGCATGCGAATGGATATTATGAAAGGTTGTATAAAACTGAATGCTTCGTCTCACAAGAGCAACACATGGGCTCATCTCCCGAAATGAATGTAGAGATATAAAAAAGACACATTTTAAATAATTCGGCATTCTTAGTGTCCTTGTTTACTACCGCCGGAGTCTGAGACCCGCACAGAAAAGCCAGCATTCCTATCGATCCGAAGGTAGGTGATAAATATATTTCTGATATTAATACTCATAATAATGTAGGCCGCCACGGCGAGGAGAGCGCGAGAGGCGGTTCTAATTATGTAAATTAGTTTTTATCAATCTTGAATTACATCTCTAAACTGCGAAAGAAGGCGCTGATCTGGTCGCTCTAGAATATCAGGTCTAGGGTTATTAAACGGAGAAACTTCAGCTTCAAATATCTTTATAATTTAAAAAAAAAACAATCCCATTCTTTTCTTTGTCTGGATGATATTCACTGAGAGCATTATCAATATTTTACATTATGTATAATAATCAAATCACTACAGACTATTGTCTATTTTTGATGGCACATAGGTATTGCTGATTATAAATAGCATATCTATCTTGTTTCGGAAGAAATTAAAAAAGTTTTTTTTAATTAATTGTAAATATCATTGGTCTTTATACTCCAGACCATCTGTATATTTAAATCAAAAATTATTTGTACAAATAAAATCAAAATTGATGTCTTGAAGTTAAATAAACAAAATTTAAAATAAATCATTAAAAAAATCCAAATGAAATTATTGTTTGTTTATTTTTTTCTGGAAATTGTATAAATTTATGCATATAAAAAAGAAATATTAGTAACTTAGATATGTTGTAAATTCTTATCTATAAAAAAGAAGATATTTTTGTTTTTGTAAAAGAACACATTCATTTAACTTCAATAAAGTTTAATTTTATATCTTCGTAATGTCCCTTAAAAATAAGAATTTGAATACAAAAAATAACCGTAGGGAAATTGACATCGAAATTTAAAAAAAAACTCTGTATACATCCTTTTAAATAAAACACTAAAAGGCATTCGGTAATCATTACGTAATTAACTTCAATTCTTTGTAACCGAATAAATCCAATTTGCTCGCTAAGCTAATCACAAAAGCCGTCCATTGAACGCTGTGTAAATATTTGTTTAAATTATTTCCAATAAATCGATAGCTCGGTATTGAATTCTTTTGAGTCAATATTTTAAGATATCTTTGCGTTGAAGCGATACAATGTAACATGCAAAGGCAGGTTTGAAAGAATTGAAACAAAAAACGGGGGAAAATAAAATGAATTTTTTTAAAATTTAATTTTGTTGTTTGTTTGTTTCTTTATACTCTCTCTCAAAGGTAAATTATAGAATTATGATTTGTATAAATAATTTTTTTTTAATTGTAGAAGGACACAACTATTTTTTTCGGTCAGTTTACTGACTTTTAGAGTTCGGTGAACATTCTCGTTGAGTGTTGTCTTTTTTTTCATCCTCATAAAAATATTGTGAAAATGAATTATTACAAGGTATGATAAACAGATTAAATCATAAAAGTGCGTGGTTATCAGTGGACTTTCTCTAATTTTGACCTTATCATAAAATTTTCCCCCTTAAAACACACCTATCAAATCCATTTTGATATTGATGTTCATTATAATGACATTATATAAAAGTAAAATGCATGGATCAATTCATAAACAAGTTTATGTTAAATCGCCATTGCACGAAAGGCTTTTGAACTGTAAGGAGAAATAAATGATGACAAAGAGAGATATGACTACCTCTAATTACTGTTTATTTTATAAAAAATGATAAATGGAGCGCATGTGTACTAATCTAATAGATAAATAATAAGAAATATAACTTTTCTTTATTACATTTTTATTACAAAATAAAGAGAATATTTTTGTTTTTTTCTTTGAGTTTTCTTATATTTGTAGGAAAATCATCCAAGCATCTATGAATTTGATTACACAATAGCTGGAATATCTTTGTTATTCTGTTATTGACACTGCCAGCTTATGTAGACATTTCATCCTTTGATTATCAGCCTATATTTATTTTTCTCGAATTTATGAGTAATATTATATAAAATGTTATTGCTTTAGATTAAAAGGGAAAATGACAGATATATAGTTTTAGCATGTAAAATGGCGTAATGTTTAAAGTAAATATTACAGCAACAAAGCTTCTTGGAATGTTTTTTGTTACAACAGATAATTAAATCAACAAAGAAAATAGATTCCGTTCCTTTTCTTGTCCAGGCCTACACTGTTTTTATTACCTGTCGATTAGAGTAAACGTCAGATGGGAAATTGAAGCTAATTATGTATGCATAACACGCCTATTTTAATAAAAAATACCTATAGCCGGTGAAGATAAAATTATTAAATATAAAAGCCAATCGGTCTGTTTGCCTAGGCCCTCCTTACATTTAAATTCACACCGCTGTGTAAGCCATCTTTCACTAAAGCGTCATTGCGATAGCCTCGCCAGATAATTGGCATACGGGATCACAACCGATGAAAACCAATCAGATTTCAGCCTCGCGATTTGATTATAATAATCTGAGCGCATAACAATAATCATATTTCTGACATGCGCGTTAAGATATTCAGAAATTGCAACAGTGAAAAAGTTATTTCATTTTGAATGTGAGATACACCATGTCGCGTCGAAAGCAACCCAAACCTAGACACATAGAGGCGGAAGACGAATTAGCAAGTATTTTACAGAATGGTAAGTGAAGTCTTTATTGTTCCCGGACTTTTAAAATTGCAGTCACAGGTGTACACGAGTAATCGCACGCTATTTCTGCTGAGTGCATGAGTATCCTTCCGTTCGGCCATGTGCGTTTTGTTTACCTTTTCACGTTGAATAGTCCAGTGGGACATTTTCTCTGTAAGAAGCAGTAGCATCATTTGGACATTTAACAGATCGCTGTAGTGTATTGGATAGAGTCTGGGTGTATTTACTGTACGTTCAAAAACCATGTTGTTTTTCCAGCCCCAAAATTCCGCGAAAATCCATTGAGGTTTATTTCAAGTAGGTAAGAAATTTAACCTGTGCACTTTTTGGTGTATTAATCTAATTAATCTAATTAATATTAAGCTTCTAATAATTTTTCTTATTCAATTAATCTGGATTAAATATTTTTAAAAAATAAATATTTTGTTACATCTGAATAATCCGCAAAGCTTGCTTTTTAATTTTTTAAAGAAATTAAACTGTATTCTTGTATATACATTAATATCATTAAAAGGAAGTAATTTAAAGTACAGGTTTTGAACATTAAAGGAATGGAAAAATAAACATTTTGAGTAGACGAATCTTGTTAAATTGCCTTATAAATTATTGATTAAATTTAAATTTAATTTTTTGAAATCATATTTTTTATTTTCATTGAAATTCTGAGAACCTAGTTAAATTGACATAAATATTGAAATTGATATTCTTTGATATCGTGAATTTAATAGCAATTTTTCTACTGCCTGCACCTGCTTTGAAGTTTGAATAAGCAATCAATAATTTGTTAAAAGCTGTTTCAATGTATTTATTGGAAAAATTAATAGTAGATTAGACTTGATCCCATAAGAGTCCTTAGGTTTGATGAAATCGTTGTCTATTCCTTATCATTTATTTGCTGTAGAAAGAATTCCCAAATTCTGTATACGTGCTTGAAACTGATAAACAGGGATAATTTTAAAATATAATATCAATTGTGAAGAATTTTGCCAATATTACAAGGGTACTTGAATACGAGTAAAGCATGTCGAACACCGGGTAGAAAGTCTTACTGACATTTACAAATCAAACAAAAGATTATAATAAATCATACGTTAAAATCCAGACTTGGTATCAATGGCTATCTTTTCTATTGAAAATTTGGAGATAGTTGAGAAAACGTAAATTGATAAGACGTTGTAAGCTTCTGGATTAAAGGACAGACTACCGATTGTCGAATTTGTCTGGAAACCTCACAGACTTGGTTGCTATATGGATAAATATCAAATTAAAATATAAAGTTGTGATATTTCCTTTCCCCCCGTCCCTCGTGGGCCTATATTGTCACTTCGGCTATGTATCTCACACTTGTGTCAAAATTTTGTTTATCTGAAAATTCCCCTCTTCCTTTGGTTTGTTCATTTATGAAAATATGTGAGAAAATGCCTGGAAGAAAAAACTGTGTTTGTAAAACTATATAATTATGTTAGTGTAATTATATTGGTTGTAAATTGCTTTATACACTTGTTATTTTCTAGCTTATCTGCTCGGACACCCAAGTTATACCGCCCTGCCTCAGGGTAGATTGGACTCCATACTTTCTCTTTTAAACACTTGTCACTGATTATTTGAGACACATCATATAATTTGTTTGTCTACCCATTCCATTGTGTCAAATTCCTGTCAAAGCATTATCTGATCCAGCAAGTTAATTTTTACAACCCCCCAAAGAACAGTATCAGTATGATTTTTGTAATCAAAGAAATTTGATAAATTTTATTTGCAAGAAAGAGAATAATTTTAATATTTAAGAGTTTTTTTTATAGCAATCTTTTTTTTAATTTAACCTCAAATAAAGTTTAATGTTCAAAAAGAGAATAATATTAAATTTTGTTTGAAATTTTAAGTGTGAGTGTGTGTGTGATGAATTTTTCCTTCACAATCTATTATGCATTCAGTTATGGTCCAAGTTTTTGCAGGCATTGATTTGTGAAATGAAATGCAAGCAAGATGGATAGGAGACAATAAGACAATATCTATGACATAACAGGCAACTCTTCCCTTCAACCCAGCTGCTTCCCAAAGTCAAACTTGTGAAAACTTTGACAGGCGTTTAGCAGCAACAATTTTAAGAAAGAATGCTGAAGGCTTTAGATACAGCGAGACTGAACAAATAAATGTTATGACTGCCAGAAAGAAAATAAATAGGGGGGATATCTCTGATTTCTTCAATTTAAGTCAGGCTGTTTGCAGTGATTAATGTTGGAATGTTTTTGTTTTTCTAAAACTTAAAAAATGTATTTTAAAAAAGTGAAAGTTTTTCCTGCTAAAAGTTGTTGTTTAAAGTTTTAATTTATAAAGCTAAAAAAAAATCAAAATATTAGAGTTTTCTTTATATTTATTATTTTTTTTTTATATATAAAGAAGATTATATAATATTTCTTATTCATCTTTTAAGCCAGACAAATTTTTCTTTGTTATATAAAAAGAAAATTGGTTTAAAAAAAATCTCATCAGTTATCTCCCTTTCAATTTCTCTTGTCTGTGAATTTCTTTGACACTTTTCATGAAAGATAAATATCTGGGAATAGGATGACAGAAATATTTAATCAGGGGTCAAATGACTTATTTGTGAGAAATTTCCAGTTATTTTGGGCAGGGATGTGTTTAATATGATATGTGGCAAACACATAACATCATCGCCCCGGAATAGCGGGATGCAAAGTACACATATGTCCAGAAATTTATCAACAATCAGCCGTCTCAGGTTATGATAAGACTTTATGAGAAAGACGAGTTTACATCTTTGAATCAGTATTAAAAGAGTGGAGCGGAAGGCGACACATTAAAAATCCTATAGAGAGGGGTTTTCTGGGTGCTTATAATGGTAACAAATGAGGGGATTTGTACAACCAGGAATCACCTTAGCTGTTCTTAATACATAAGTTATAATGATGAAATATTTAAAATGGTATTATGTATCAGGTGGGATTCCTTCAGATCTAGGTCTCTGACAGACCAGCTAGTTATTGGGGAATTTACACCAGATTGCTGTGTTATATTGAAAAAAGGTTAGGAGGGAGGGGGAAAAATTCAAGTGTGATGGGGGTAATTTTATAGTCACTGAAGCAAATATTTCAAATGAGCTAAAAAAATATTAAAAAATAATTCTTATTGTCAGAGCTCAGATAAATCACCAAAAAATGTTATCTTGATCTAGTTAAAAAAAAAAACTTTCAAATTAATAGGAGTAATTGTTTTGTGCTTGAAGCAAGCATGCATGCACATGCACACACATGCAAATTGTATTGAGTCAGTATCTAGATTTTATCAGTTCAGCTGAGATTTTTTATTTTGACTCATTTATTATGATTAACTTCCTTAGTATCAAGACAACAAGTTATGAAATTCATTTAATTTCCGAGGGTGGGTCGGAAGCTGTCACTGATTTCTTTTTATTCGCAAGTCCTGTAGCAATATTTGTAAAGAAATAACAAAGAAATAATCAAATATAATAACTCGCTTGCATGTCTGATATTAATTTATAATCATGACATAAACAAATATAGCATTCATTAAGAAAAAATTAATGTTCTTTTGGAGGAAATAGCGACTTTAATATTTGAGCATATATTCATAACCTATTGATTTTACAACTAAAAAGTACTCAAACTGGCTCAAATTGGAGAGTAAACAGCCAATTATTCACAGAAGCTTTTTCTTCTATAAACTGTTGTCCTCGTGTATACATTAATCAGTCTTTTGCAAATGAATTCTCATTTTTGATGAAATTTTTTTTATTTAATAATTTTGCAATATTTTATTGCAGTGTATTATTGAAAAATTGAAAAATTGAAAACATTTAACTCTGAGTTTAAACTATACTCTTAATTTTGCAGTCTACAGTTGCTTTATAGACAATTTATGTGAGTACATTTTTGTATGTCTTGGGATCAAAGAGATTATTATTGTGTGTGCAGTCAAAATAAAAACTTTCTGGGATTGGTTTGTGGTTAAATGGTTTTGTTTGTGGTGAATTAGATTTTTTAAAATCACATTAACAATCGAGTGATGCCAATTTTAAAAGTCCACACAGGTGGGTGTCATATAATTATTTGTGGCCCAAAATTTGACTTGGGACATCAAATGATTTATATATATTTTGGCTGAATGGGGGCCCATCCTTGACCAGTGTGACTGAGCCCTAATCTTCTTGACCTCCAATGATGAAGTAAACTGGATTTAATGACTAGGTTGTGGGGTGGCCGAGCTTTAATGGTCATTCGAAGAAAAATATAATCCATTGTCCGTGGCCATAATAACCCGAGACACAGGTACACAGCTTCTCAGCTGGGTGCCCCATCATATCGCAAGATATTAAATTGCTCATTAAAATGGACATGTGAATTTTCGAATATAATAGCTGGAGGGTCAGGGCATTGTTGTGACCATGAATAAATTCAGAGATGGTTTCCTGTATTAAGCAAACATAATTCATACCTGGGTACATTCTCTTTGTGGCCATTACATAACAACGGACAAATAGTGTGAAGAAAGTACTGTAATTTGGAGAAAAAGAATGAATTTCAGAAGACGAATAATATCTCCAGGGCAATAATACAGAAATAATAGCTTATTGAAAGTGTTGTATGGGGAGAAGCTTTGTTTGTCAGGGTTTAGATGTTGACCAGAAAGTAGCCTTTGAAGTCGTCATAAACCCCTAAACAAGATTGGATTTGAAATAACTTTCATATCTTTGCCAGATAATAAAAATAAAAACACAGGGAGAAAAAGGGCCGTCAAAAGTAATTGACAGAGCAGAGTTATTCCCCCTATTTGATAATGGCTTACTTCATCCATGACACAAATGACTGCAGGGCTTAGTTCAGAAGAGATTAATTCAGAATCTTATCAGAAGGCACCTTTTTTCTGATTGCTAAATAAGAAACACTTTATAATAGAATTTGTCAGCTTTTTCGGAACTTTAAAGTCGAGGCATAAATGTTTTGCTGTATGGAAACCCTCTATGAATGGAGAGCAATATATATCGGTACTAATCAGACATCGCCTATGATTTAGAGTTTTGCGACTCAATATCATATAATCTCCCTCAAGTATATCTCTCCCGTCCCAAGACAAATTCCAGGGTTGCTATATCAGTGCGTAAACCACATAGAAAGATTTCTAGTTATTATTTTTACCGTTATTTCCAAAAGTGTCATTGGCACAAAAGAAACATTGAAATATACCGGATAAGGTATGACAGTTTCCCCTGGGCTTGATGTATGTATCGTGTACCCAGGCACAAATTTGGGCTACAA